TGCATGAACATTTATTCCAATGCATCTAGCTAGTAGTTGTTTGAGGCAGGTAATACAATAAACTCTGCCTATTCTGGAAGACAGTGCAGAGTTGGGCTGAAGGTCGAAATTGCAGCCTTCACAAATGTAGTAGTCTTTAAAAATTCGAAAACACCGTTTTGGCACTGTTTCCTCCAATACTTACGAATGGTATTCTAATGTTTAAATAATTGTGGCAAACGATAATCACCAAGCCCGTTTCTCTTGAACAGTTTGGCTTGGGTAATGGTTGGGGTTATTTGTTTGATTTAATTTTGGTTTAAATGCGGACACTCATTGTACCTAAGTATTGTAGTCACTCACGCCTCGAAGTGTACATCCGAGTTACGATGGAATGAAACGTCCCTTTATTAGGTAATAAATGATTTCAATTTACGAAAATGTTAACTGGTGATTATAGATCGGTGATTGGCTGTAAACGGTTTTCCGTTTTTTGTCAGGTAGCCCTTCTGATTTGCTTCACTTGTTTCAATAGTCCCAAAACAATATTGCTTGTACTCGAATTGGTAGAGTTGGGTTTCTTCTGGAATAGAAATTAACCCAAATACCACACGTGTTTTTTTTTCATGGGGCACTGAGATTCAGGACATTGTTGCATTTAAGGCTTCTGAACCTTAGTCGACTTAAAAGTACATTTTTGAAGAAAAGCAGAAGGGTACCTGGTGACAAAAATAAACCTGCGAATTGGCTCAACACATGAAAAACTTCACAGTTAATCGCTTTTTCAATGGTCTTGCCATTTACTCACATTTAGTATGAAGTACCTTTTAATTTGCACTCATGTAAGCGTTATTTTAGTGGTGTCTCACTGGTGTGGTCGTGACCTTCAAGCACGTAATACGATAGGCTGGCGACACTTATTGCATCATGCTTGCTAACACTTCCATCAATGCATTTATCGCCTGCTCGGTAGTTCGTAGAGTTCATAATGCTGAAATTAATCTCAGAATTATCGACTTAGTTCCTTCACACAGTGATCCAATTTGATCCTGGACAATTCTGCTATCGTTTCTTCCGTTTTAGAATTTCGTGCTTTATTCTAGCTGTGTGTTTTGGAGACAGAACAAGACGCAGCCTAAACTTACCATTTAGAGAAATTTCAACGGGCGCAGTAATCTTTAGTTTAAATAACTTCAATAACCCTCTGTTAAGGAATCGTAGTCTCATGTGAAGCTACACAAGGTACCATTGTGGGTAAAGAAAGCTACGTTGGCCGAACGAAAACAACATTAGGTAAATGGCAATGTTGGCAGGATGAACGCTAATCCAGCCTGGATATTCTGCTCCTAGACACGAGATGCTCATCGTGCTGCCTAATGAAAGAGCTGGCCTGCCTGAGTTGCTGCGAATGCTCGGCGACCACAAACACCTCGAACACTTCAAGGCTCTCTTCGACAAGAAGAAGTACGAGACCGGGCGGTTTGAGTTACGCCTTCCACGCTTCAATCTCGGTGGTTGCAGTATCGACTTGAAGAGGCCATTGGGTGAGATGGGATTGGAAAGCGTCTTCAAGGACTCCGAAGCTGACTTCTCCCGCATCAGCGATTGTGCCAGCTTGTGCATCTCGAAGATAGTCCACCAGGCGAAGATTGAGGCAAGTGGCTTTTGTCGCGTTGGTGAACTGGCGTCTGTTGTGGGTCAGAAGAGGCGTGTGTGTGTGTGTGTGTGTGTGTGTGTGTGTGTGTGTGTGTGTGTGTGTGTGTGTGTGTGTGTAACGGCATGTTTGTGTCGTGTGTTTAGGTGAACGAGGAAGGAGCGGAAGCTGCGGCTGCAACCGGAATGACCATTTCCGCGTGCTGTCTGAGCCCGCAGTTCATAGTGGACCGACCTTTCCTCTTCTTCATCGTCACCGAGACTGGATTCCCGGCCTTCATGGGTCACGTGGTCAACCCCCTGGGATAGGGCTGAAGTCGTCGGCTGTGACTCCGATTTCTAGTTATTTTTCGTTTTCGTTGAGCAACTGCCGCTGGTTTTCTCCACATCTCTCTTATGCCCTGCACTGACTTGTGACTTTTTCAATCTTGACACAAAGCACTTGTGTTTGACTTTCAACTCGAGTGTTAAAAGTGCGTTTATCACTGGCGGTTTGGTCAAGGTGGTAGCGAGTAGGGCATCAATGCAAAAGCTTGGACGATTGGTGTCGAAGAACCAGGTGATGACACGTTAATTGAAGCCTTGTGGTGTGATTGGGGGGTGGGAAGCACGTTTGCGGTGGTGGATTTTAGAAGACTCCTTTTCAGCCAAATTTGCGGACGCCATTTTGGCGAGGTGGAGTCTTTGCATATGCGAGTTTTCAGGCGTGGTTGACAGTCGAATGATGCGTTTGGCTGAATGAGTAAATGGGAGGCCATCAAGGGCGTTGTGCTCATTGTTTGTGAAGTCATGACAACCAGAGTCACTTTTATGTGCAACGAAGCTGCATGAAGTTAACTGACTGCTCTGACACCGTGTTTTTGCAGATCGCGCAAGATTTTGCCTGAATTCTAAGTTTTTGGGTTATGACAGCTGTTGCCACCGGGTCCACTGGGAGTGGTGCGCGTCAGATCTTTTCGTGCTGTGAGGAAGTGAATGCACCACCTTCAATTACCGCGGGTTCTTCCGTAATGAAATCAGTCAAGCGATGTTGC